AATCCTATAGAAACAAGTGGGGCTCGCTGTGAATCTCCTAGACGAATGAGTAGAAAAAAGATTGGCACTGTTAAACCTAACAAATTTAAATGTAAAGGTATGGAAACTCATTCTTTACTATACTCCTATACTGTATATACTCCTATACTCTATATACTCCTAATCTGTATATACTCCTAATCTGTATATACTTCTATACTCTATATACTCCTATACTCTATATACTCCTTTACTCTATATACTCCGATACTCTATTTACTCCTATAATCTATATACTCCTATACTCTATATACTCCTATTCTCTATATACTCCTATACTCTATATACTCCTATACTCTATATACTCCTATTCTCTATATACTCCTATTCTCTATATACTCCTATACTCTATATACTCCTATACTCTATATACTCCTATTCTCTATATACTCCTATAATCTATATACTCTTATACTCTATATACTCAAAATACTCCTATACTGTATATACTCCTATACTCTATATACTGCCATACTCTATATACTCCTATAATCTATATACTCCTATACTGTATATACTCCTATACTCCTATATACTCCATATACTCCTATAATCTATATACTCCTATACTGTATATACTCCTATACTCTATATACTCCTATACTGTATATACTCCATATACTCCTATACTGTATATGCTCCTATACTCTATATACTCCTGTACACTAAATACTCCTGTACACTATATACTCCTATACTCTATATGCTCTATATATTGGATTGACTTACAGAATTGCAGTAGTGTATGGAATGAAACTAGCTCATTTAGTCTCCTGAGTTTTTAGAATAATTTGAAATTATTAATTTCATACACTTGTTGAAGATGATGAATTAGTCTATAATTAGTCTATAAATTGTTCTATTGGATCTGTACAAACATATTCTTACTCTATTCAAAGTCTAATATTAAAGAAACTGTTTGGTTGAACTTATGAAATAATACCGGTAGTATGAAGTCGACTTCTGTTAAATTTGGAATGAGATCTGTGGTTTGATCAGTCAGATATGAAAGTCATGTTTGTGAGACTTGTAGAAATCATCTGTAAGTGGATATTAACTTGAAGTTGGGGGAAAGAGTACACTGCAATGTATGATATATCTTCTGTTAACTAAACATGAGTAGATAGAAGGATGTAAAACACTATTCATTTTATTTTCTTATATACTAAGTTAAATATTATCTTACAGGTGCTGAAGTTCATAGGACAGTTAATGCTGGTACTTGTATGATTGATAGAGAATGTCCTGAACAATGTACCTGTGTTGGTACTATAGTTGACTGTTCTGGTAGAGATCTGAAAGAAATACCAGATTTTTTACCAATGTACACAACAGAATTGTAAGTATGATGCCACGCAGACATTTAATATATATATATATATACATACAAAGAGGCTCTAAAATATAACTATTAAAGATGTCAGACATCTATTGTTTCAGAAAATCATAAATTTCTGGAATTTATTTTACTATAAACATCTTGTTTCATGTAATAAAAATAACATAGGAGTAGTATACCCTAAAATCATTTTGAATTTTTGTAATCTCTATACCTAAATATTGCTATGAGATTATCTAATAGCAGCTCCAATATATGATGAAAATTTGCATTGAAAAAACATAAAGACAGAGTCAAAAAACAGATGTATTACTAAAGGTTAAATAATTCAAAAAAATTGCAAAAACTGTCAGTAATAGTATGTTACCATGCCTGACAACTTATATTTATTTTAAGGTTCTTGTGACTGTATGTAAAAGTTGTATGTTAATATTTTTATCTGATATGTTACAGGAAACTGGGTAACAATGGAATAACCAAAATCAAGGCTGATGGATTATTCACTAAATTATCAAACCTGCAAGTTTTGTAAGTTTTGTGTTGTTTTTTTTTTGTTAGAGAAACTATGCTGAAATTGTGGCCAATTTATGGTCCATATCATATTTGGAAATTTTAGCCCACATGTTAGAACTTCAAACTTTATTTTCCTTTGAATTATAACTACAGTTTGATGGTAACTCTTCACTCTCTTCACCATTGTCAGATCTATTGTCAGCTTGTTAAACATCCACAACATATATTTGATATTCTTATCCCACAAATATTAAAGTGAACCAGAAAAAAAAAAATTTGAATTTTTTAAAAACAAAATAGTTTCTATTAATTTCATGTTTCAAATGTAAATAAATAAGTTGTCTGAAGATCATATAGCTTGAAACTCTGAGTAACAACATGTTTCAAGTTCTGTTTTTAATATTTCTATTTCTGAAATTGAATTGCATATATTTGAAATGCATAGATTTTAGAAGTCAACAAAGAAACAAACATTTGTTAAACATGTGATAAAAACTATACATATGCCTCACACATTATTCATTGAAATTTTTTAACAGCAAGCAAAAACAGCAACTTATTTTTTCAAAGATTTTTTGTTGAAAAAGAATTTCTTTTTTTTGTGTCAAGTTCTGGATGCAATTGAAGTGATTATAACCGTTTCTAAACAAAACAGGAAATCAGACTTGTTTGGAATTCAAATAAACTACAACCTGTTTTTATTCATGTACATAACAGACATATTTTTTGTCATGGTGCTAACATGCATACAGTATAAATACTATGTTTTTCCAAGTGCTCCTTCTGTCTTAAGATAAGTTTATGGTAAGTTAATTGTACAGAATACCTTAATAATTTACAGTGAAAACACATGGTTATGATTTGTTAACAGATTGTACATTTACAAATTAATTATTTACTATATACTTAGACTATATCTTAATATTTATATTGTACATAATTTACATATTTGGTATTTATGTACCGGTAATTACGCCATATAACAACAGGTACATAGTAATTTATAATATAGTAGTGCTAAGTTGACTTCTTATTTGTAATTGGAGATACTTACCTACAGATTTGTAGTTCATTAGTATTCATTATTTTTATGCCTTTAGTATTAATTATTATTTTTTCAGAGAGTTAAATGATAATAAGATAGAAATGATAGAAGATGGAACATTTATTGGTGCCAGTAAACTCACTGATTTGTAAGTATTTAATGCTCTAAACTACTTATACTATTTAAAACATGATATTAACATCAGGTTTCATCATGAAGGGAAATACATTAATCTCCTTTACACAGTCTTGATCCTAGATTTTATTTTACCTGAACTTTTATTGATTATCAGTTTATTGATTAAAATTAGACTTTTAAAAACTTTTATTTTTAATTTAGCCACTTTAGTTAGGGTCTAAAGACAGGCCTCTTGAACATTCGTTAGTTTGATGATGCTGCCAGTCAAATCAAAATTCCAGTTACAGTTGCTGTAGATTCAAATTCAACAAAGCTGGCATTAGACTGTTGTCATCTTGTCTGACAAGCTTATTATAGTTCTAGGAAAGGTTAAAAATTCCCAGTGAAAACACATTTAATGTTTCAAACAGTTATGTCCCAAAAATTTTGTTCATCACACATTGAAGTAAATATGAACATTTATGATTAAAATTTGATAAAGATGATGGCATTAGGGACCTCCCAAAATATTACAAATTGTTTGTATTATCTTCATAATGTTATGAATTTTCTTTAAACATTATTTTAAAAACTTTAAATATTTGAAATAATTTATTGACTTTGTGATAATTGTATAAAAGGGAATATTTGTATATTTATCAACAGTTTATTTTTAACATTAATTCATCATGGGTTTCTTAAAAGAAAGGGCATTATGTCATTTGTTTGAAAAAATTTCAATTTTTTTTCCTTTTGAAGATGAAATGTAAAATTTTTCATTCTGTTGAAGGGTTGCTATCTTGGTCTAGACCTGGACGCGATAAAATTACCAAATTCTGTTCCGAGACCACCTCACCACGGTAGTCTCAAATTGGAACTGTTTTCAGAATGCTTGACCCTTCACGCGATTATATTTTCATCCGTTCCATTTTCGGAACTGTTCTCAGAATGCATAATTTTTTGGTTTACTGACCACAATTTCCAACAAAAAACAGTTTTGCCATGTAATATAATCATAAGGATTTATTCTACGCCAGCTTTATTTAATCATACTTCACCATTGAGTCACTCTAATACTAGTAACTCAAGTTTATTTGCAATTTGTTAAAGAGAGATATAAAACATTCAATAGAGTGAAATGAAAACAGGATTAGAAAGTTTTGTTTCACTTGACATAACAGCAATAATATCTTTATATTACAGACAATTAACAAATAATAGATTAACACAGTTATCTGGAAAAGTTTTTACTGGGCTAGAAAATGTTAAAACTCTGTAAGTACTAAGTATATACTGTAAAGATTTTATTTAAAATACTCAATGAAGGAGATGCAGTTCTGACAAACCAAACTGAAAGTGGCATGAAATGATCTGAAAGGGTGAGAAGGCATGTGACCACTGGCATATCACATAATTGAAGAAGAACTTACTTTTATTTACAAGTTTTGGCCTTTGATTTGAATACATATCTCAGATTTCAAGAAAAAAAAACATAAAATGCTAATATTTGTCAGAAAAAATGATAACCCTTTACATTCCAGGGTTATTAACAAAGTATGAAAGTTAAGACCGTCATATTTTGTTTGACCTCATATTAACATAGATATCAGACATATTATTCACAGAATTACAGTGTAATAGGTTGAACCATTGTAAAATAATGTATTCTTTCAATTTTAGAATGATTCGAGGAAATAAAGTTACCTGCATCAATAATTCTACATTTACAGAAACTCCCAGATTACGACTTCTGTAAGTATACATTATATTCTGTTATTGTTTACTCTGTAAAATATTGAATAAATAAAAAACATCCATATTCGACCAGATTAACAACTTAAACTGTAAGGTCCCTTTGTACTGGATAAACCGTGGATTAAACCAATGGTTAAGTTATTAAATGGCTCACACAATAGAATCTTTCTCCATTTTCTGTTGCGAAAATTAAAATTGGAGATGTTTTTTTTTTTTAGATCAATCTATGATAATCAAATAAGATGTATCATGAAAGGATCATTTGACAGATTATATTATTTATCTACATTGTAAGTATTGTTATTCTTGATCAACATTGTAAGTCTTGTTATTCTTAATCTACATTGTAAGTATTGTTATTCCTAATCTACATTGTAAGTCTTGTTATTCTTAATTTTACACTGTAAGTATTGTTATTCTTCATATACATTGTAAGTCTTGTTATTCTTAATCTACATTGTAAGTCTTGTTATTCTTAATTTACACTGTAAGTATTGTTATTCTTCATATACATTGTAAGTCTTGTTATTCTTAATCTACGTTGTAAGTATTGTTATTCCTAATCTACAATCCATTTTTTTTGTTATTTTTGCAGAAATTTGATGGCAAATCCCTTCAATTGCAATTGTCATCTAGGATGGTTATCAAATTGGTTGAAGCAACGCAATGTGATCACAGGAACACCAACATGTTTTGCTCCTCATGCTTTGAAAAATACTCCAATACAAGATTTAAAAGACAAAGATTTTGTTTGTGAAGGTAGGTAGGATAGATATGACAAACACCAGTGATAATCTGTTGTTTTGTATGTGCATTCTGATTTTATCAGAAGAAAAGAATACGATGTATACAGAATAAGTTTATATTTAAGATATTTATATATGTCAACTTGAAGAACAGTGCAGTTGGTCTATACATTGATGGTCTCATAGCCCAAATATCTTGGCCCTGTACATCACCAAGAACTGATGAGCATTAAGGGTAAAAATGCACTTGTGTCAAATGAATTCCACTACAGGTAATGCGAAATATCACACTGCCATCAATGACACACCAGAATGCGAAATGATAGCAGACATAAGCATGAAAAGTGTGAGTTTAAGTCATATGAACATAAACCTCAGGCTCAGACGCGGTATGAGAATGCACGTTTAATATCCACCACTGCTGAAAGTAATAGAGAAGGCAAATGCTGTTGTTCCGGTAAACTTTCCCTAATTGCCCAAATTATTGGATTGCCCAGATTCATAAGCTCCTAAAGATGAAAAACTAAATTTCATTTTATTCTATTGCTTTATTTTTTATTAGAAAATAATGAAATTGGTTGTAATGTTGGACCTGCTTGTTGCCATGATAGTAATATGTGTAAGTTTATAAAAATCTTATAAAGGTCTTGATTTGTTCATTCACTGCTCATTGGCTATGAAATTGAACTGTTTTCACCTGAAATTGTTTCAAAAACACATTTAAGCGTCTAATATGGAATTATTGACCTGAACTTGATTAACATACCCTCTTTTTCTCAGAATGAACAATGTATATATGACTGAATAATTTTTTCAACGAATCATTTTCGATTTTTGTGCTCAGTAACAAAAGAGTAAATATTGTGTTTGATTTTGTTTCTCAAAAGTAATTGATCACTGTATATATAATTATATATCATTATTATAGTAACAGAAGAGAATAGTTGTGATCCCAGAGCATATTGTCCACCAAAATGTACATGTAAGGGAACTGTTGTTAGATGTAGTAGAAAAGGTTTAACAGAAATACCAAAATATATTCCCCTAGACACAACAGAGCTGTAAGTATACATATTGTGTCTCGTGAAAGGTGGACAACTATATTTTGTTGATCTGAAATGGTCAACTTCTGACCTCTAAAAGGGTGAAATGAAAAATCACATTAAAAACATTTTTTTCATGTGTTTTTGAGATCGATCAATTCAGTATTAAATGAAACTCAAAATAATCTTGTCTAATTAATCCTATAAATAAAATGTGCACATTCAGGTTTTTACAACTTTTGAGAACTAAAATATAAAGGTATATTATAAAGTGATTAAGGAGGTTTTCTAGTCATTCTGGCTATATTAAATATATAGAATGTAATTATAGTCTAAGGTGAAAAATGATTAAGCTGTATTAAGGAATATATTATGTTTCTACCATTTTCTAACCAATGCAGTTTTAGTTATTGTATCAAGAGTAGTGTATTAAAGGGAGAGCACTATGTATTTCAGGTATCTTGATGTCAATGAAATTACTAGAATACCAGAAGAAATTGGTTTACTTACTAAATTAAACAGACTGTAAGTTATTGGAGATAAAACTCTAGTGATTTGTAATTATGCCTCAGCTCATGATTGGGAGTGTTTCAGATCTTTATTAAATTCAAAGACAGAAATGAATGGAAATTAAGACAACCAATTCCACTGGCTGAATGTACATGTAGGAAAGTGAAGTGGATAATAAATATTTTTGACCTTACTGCATCTACAGTGATATTTTGGAATAGATCCATGGTTCTATCCCATGAATAGAGACTTTTAAGTCCAATTTTCCTATTATCTTTCTTTAAAGGACAAAACTATTTTTGTTCTCTTTATAGAGTGTTTTTTCTTCATATATATCATTGCATCATCTAATTATTGCTATTTCTTTCAGAGATTTAAGTCACAATAAATTGTTAACATTACAAGAATCAGTGTTTGGTAATTTGACTAATCTCAATACATTGTAAGTATACTTTGATTGTTGTTGAATTGATATTAAACCAACAATGGGAAGGAGGCTCTATTTGAATGTTTCACCTCTAGGTTTTGTTATAGAAACAAGGCAGTCTCCATGTGATGCTACTCTGTTATTGGCTTTGTGAACTTGGCAGTCAACTTGTGTATTTACTAAATTTATTGTTATCAAAGCAATTTATACTATTTGAAAAAAAAGGTTGATTGATTTTAATGACAAATTTCATATATTTTAATTTCAGAATTTTAAGTTATAATGAACTACAATGTGTAGCACCATCAAGTTTCAAATCTTTGAAAAATCTCAGAATTTTGTGAGTATGATATTTAAATAATTCTAGAATTCAAAATTTCGAAGCAGCACATTTGGTTTTATGTTTTTGTTATTTAAACTTGTAAAATGATGTAGATTGTTACATTATTACAGTCATTGAGTCAGGACATTAAATAAAATCTACCTTATTTTCTAGATCACTACATAAGAACAATATATCTAGTATACCATATGGTTCCTTTAAAGATTTGGTGTCTCTTGATCATATGTAAGTATCACTATCACATATGTATTACATTTTACATTTTACATATACATACACATACTATAGTATTACATACACATATACATACTATAGTATTACATACACATACTATAGTATTACATACACATATACATACTATAGTATTACATACACACATACATACTATAGTATTACATACACACATACATACTATAGTATTACATACACATATACATACTATAGTATTACATACACATATACATACTATAGTATTACATACACACATACATACTATAGTATTACATACACATATACATACTATAGTATTACATACACATACACATACTATAGTATTACATACACATATACATACTATAGTATTACATACACATATACATACTATAGTATTACATACACACTATAGTATTACATACACATATACATACTATAGTATTACATACACACATACATACTATAGTATTACATACACATATACATACTATAGTATTACATACACACATACATACTATAGTATTACATACACATATACATACTATAGTACGGTATTACATTTAACACATACATACTATAGTATTACATACACATATACATATTATAGTATTACATTTAACACATACATACTATAGTATTACATTTACCACATACATACTATAGTATTACATACACATATACATACTATACTATAGTATTACATTTTACACATATACATACTGTAGTATTACATTTTACACATATACATACTATAGTATTACAAACACATACATACTATAGTATTAAATTGTACACATACATACTAAAGTAGTACTACTATAGTATTACATATACATACTGTAGTATTACATTTTACACATACATACTGTAGTATTACATTTTACACATACATGCTAAAGTATTACATTTTACACATTCATTCTCAAGAAGTACTACTATAGTATTACATACACATACATACTATAGTATTACATACACATATAAATACTATAGTATTACATACACACATACATACTATAGTATTACATACACATACATACTATAGTATTACAAACACATATACATACTGTAGTATTACATTTTACACATATACTGTAGTATTACAAACACATATACATACTAAAGTAGGACTACTATAGTATCACATACATGTTACAAATATCTATGTAGGATATATATTACTATAACACTACAATCATTACTGTATATTGCTAATAAAAAATTACTTGAATCTTTTTTTGAGAAAAGATATAACATTTTCTATTCCAGTGCCTTAGGTGGTAATCCATTACACTGTGACTGTAATTTGAAGTGGCTATCAGATTGGATTAAAGATGATTTCATTGAACCAGGTATTGCTTTATGTGTCGGACCACCTCAAATGAAGGACAAACTATTGTTGACTACAGAATCAAAATATTTTGAATGTTTGGGTGAGTAGAGTTTGTCCACACTAATACTTTGTAGCTTTTACTTTGTGGAAAAGTATCTTGTATTCATCCCATCATGTCAATATGACTATGAGCTAGACTTGAGAAAAAAAACAATTATTTCAAAATATTATATTTAAAGAAATGATCATACATGTTTTACAGAAAAAATAATGAATGTTGTATAGTCAAACAGTCAAAATGGTCTAAGCTTTGATAAAAATGTAAAGAGTTGTGAAAATTTACATATTATTAGTACTAATTATGATTCATAATAACAAATATTACGTTTGTGAAGTGAGGAGTTACTTAAAATATCATACAAAATTGTAATGTCTCAATTTCATATTGTTTTGTATTAAATATGAATAAAGGTGAGCTGGACATTAAAAAGTTAAATTGAATTATTTTCTAGAATCTTTGGATCCAAAGGTGACAGAGAAATGTAATGTTTGTTTGAACAACCCTTGTTCTAATGGTGGTACATGTCATACTGTAGAGTTTAAAAATTTTACGTGTGAATGTACTACAGCTTTCCATGGTGAACGTTGTGAACGTCAGATTGACGCCTGCTTTGGAAATCCTTGCAACAATGGTGGAAATTGTGAGGTACTTGAACATGGCAGATTTAGGTTAGTAAAATGTTGTGATGTGGTCATGTATAAACTGAGATTGATGAATATATTCCTACACTAATGAAATATTCTACAACTAATCTGCTGTCAAGATATAGTTGAGAAGTTACCCATTTTTAAAACAGAGGTACAACTGTTGATTAAAAAAAATAGAAATGAAATCTAATATTCAAAGTTTTTGTAGACCTGGCTCAAATCAAACTGACACTTTATTTGAAACTTCAAAGTGATAATTGATGCACCAGTGTTAGATAAAAAAAAAACATGTCCAATCAAAATATATTATCCATAGAAAATGTACATTTTGGGAATCCTTGCTCAATTTTATCATTTCTACTATATTTCTACATTTTTCTGATCTTTGAAGGAAATTATTCTAGTGGTTCATTCTGGAGATGTATTTGATGTGTAGATCTAGTAGATCTACCCACTTTGACTTGTGATCTTGATGATATTGTTTCATCTATAAGTTTGGTAAATTATGATTTACCCTAAACAGCTCCTGTCTTATATTTCAGATGTCATTGTTTAGATGGGTTTAAAGGTGATAGGTGTGAAACCAATATAGATGATTGTGTTCAAAATAAATGTCAAAATGGAGCAACGTGTGTTGATGAAATTATGTCTTACTCTTGTCATTGTACACAGGCCTTTACTGGTAAGTGTATTGATTGTTGATTCTCTTATTAATTCTAGTGCAAGATGATAATAGGATAACAGATGTAATGTTTTACAATAACTGCTCTGGAGACAAAATCATCTATTTGCATAACTGTTATCTCTGATTGACTGTCACATAAATCTATAACATAATAATATGGCTAGCTATCTGTATCAAATGCAAATCATGATATTTTTGTAGATCACTCTCCTTTATATTATCATGTTATAAATAATTGTAATCTGATTATCATTATAGATATAACATTATTTAATGTAATATACATTTTCATAGCTCTCACAACTGAGGTTTTATCACAATAATTGTTCAAAGAGTTAAATTTATCTCTTAATGTTATTTTCTTGCTTACAGCAGGTTTTTACCACATAAAATACATTGAAAACAATAAAAAACAAAGTGACCTTTTGTGCAGATATATCATTGTCTAACAGCAGAGTTAAAACTGAATGTTTAGGTGAAAATACAAACTGAAAATCGGTCAAAGTTTTTTCACAAATTTCATGTTATTATAAATCTGACCTTTTAGCCATTACATTTTTTTTAAAACATAATTCATTTCTTTTATCCTCATAAAAATAAGAAAATGATTGTGTTATTAAAGGTAAAAGATGTGAAAATAAAATCCCATTCTGTAAAGAAGGTTATAATTATTGTCATAATGGTGCTACTTGTGTTAGTATGAATACAGATTATAGGTAAGCAAGTTCATTATTTCAAGTATTGGGGGTTTTCTTTTTGCCTTTATATGGCAAAACCTCAAAACCAATTAAAAGGATTTTAGAAATAAAAAAGCTAGATAGGAGCACATGCTTTTGTGCTGTTAAATTTATTATCAAAGGTTTTATTTTCTTACAAGGGTATATTTCATTGATCGAAGGGCTATAATCACCTTCACCAATTTTTACGACTGAAGAAGCGAGAAAGAGGTTTGCCTGCTTTACAAGGACAAAAATATTTTGAATAACCCATTTATTATATGGATATTTTTTTTATTTAGGTGTGATTGTCAACCAGGATTTTCAGGGAAGAATTGTTCTCAAAATGTAGATGATTGTAAGTCTCACGTATGTCAAAACGGAGCAACTTGTGTGGATGGCTTAAATACTTACGCTTGCATGTGTCCATCAGGGTATTCTGGACAACATTGTGAGATTGCACCAGTCGTTCCCATCTATAACTTCTGGAATCCTAACAAGCAAATGTCGGGTGCCTGCAAGAACCACGACTGTCAGAATAATGCTGTCTGCTTCATGCCACGTGGTGCTACGGAGTCCACTGACTATCAGTGTCGATGTGCACCAGGTATTTAACTCTAGCTTTTTTTTTAAAAAAAACTACACCCCACTGCCCCTTTAATTGGCTAGACCATTGACCATTCAAAACACTTTTTTACAAAGTGAATGGCATTAAGAATTAGATTATACTTGGCAGAACATGTAGTTTCTGCAAACTGTACATTTAGTTGAAAACCTTTCTTGTGTTCAAATTAAGTTGTAAATTTTCTGAAATTTCTCATAAAACAAGTATCAGTGGTGTTGGAATATTTTTCATTATAAACTCTCTCTGTATCAGAAGTGTGGGTGTAGTTTTATATAGCTTATTTTTTTTACTATTAATTTATTAATTTTACATAAAAATATGACTCACAAGGCAAAAGGGAATCTGTATATTTTCTTAGCCTATTACAACTAGGTGCTTATTATCATTGACTAAATTTTGTTGATCATTTTCTAAGATCCTTCCTTTGTCTTTAGCTTTTAGAATTAGACTAAGTACCCTTTGAACTCACTTTGAAATTTTACAGCTTTTGAAAATAACCTCAAGATAAGAGTATTGGATATGCATGCAGACCTGTTCAAGTTTACTTTTAGTTACAGATAGAATAGACTATCTGTATTAACACCCTTTCATTCAATATTTGACATTTGCACAGGCTGATAAAACTTATCGATGCACATAAGTTAGTGGTGAAAATTTTCTTTTGCCTTTTGCTTAGCTCACCTTAATGAAACACATTCATATTTAGCTTTTTCTTGGTAAAATAGTATTCATTTAAAAACAGTTGAAAAACAGAAAATCAAAGTTGATAAATATTTAGACACTATAAACTTCTAAATAACCCTTTTTAACTTCTTACTAAAAATTTTCCAGGTTTTGATGGTAAAAAATGTGAAAAACTAGCAAGTGTGTCATTCAAACATAAAGATTCTTACATCCAACTGCCTAACGTGGACTTTCGTAAAGGTGTCAATATCACAATTGTGTTTAAAACTGAATCTTCCACAGGTATTCTTTTATATGCTGGACAGGATCAACATGTGGCTGTGGAACTCTTCCGTGGACGTGTACGTGTTAGCTTTGATGTGGGAAATTACCCAGTCTCTACCATGTTCAGTTATAAACGCGTTGATAATGGACATCTTCACTCTTTAGAAATGTTAATCAAACAGAAAAACTTCACAATGAAAATTGATCATGACGGTTTCCCCAGGACTGTTGTTAATCAAGGTCCACAAGATTATCTAGAAGTTGATGATGATCTGTATTTAGGAGGTTTACCTGCCATTGTCAACACCAGAGCCTTTAAAAAGTGGCATATTAGGGATGGAATCAGCTTTAAAGGTAAATAAAAAATCCCCTTACCACTGTCAATTGTTATATTGGAATGCCAGATTTTGAGACAAGAGCTCACAAGATAGTTAAAGGATTGAGGACGCTACTACTCAAGCCTACAGTGATCAGAAACAGGGATGTACTTAAGTTTCCAAATAATTTTCTTGCAGGTTGTTTTAGCCAAGTGTTCATCAACAGAAAACCACAAGATTTAACTACAGCTAGAAATAGTCATAAAGTCACTCCTGGTTGCCAATTGGATCCTTGCCAAGGAAACAAATGTGAACATGGAAGATGCAAGCCGCGCAAAAATAAACCAGGTTATCGTTGCAAATGCAAAAGAGGCTTCTCTGGAACGTTTTGCAACATACGTAAGTTTGCAGGCTTCCCTCCAAGTCAAGACAACCGTGAGCATCTCATTTTTTCATCTCAATGGCAACTTGTCAGAATTGTTTTTACATTTTACCTTATTTCTTGATGTAATCCACTTTCCTTTGTTGAAATCATAGTTTTAGAAATTTTAATTTACTAATTATTGTTCTTAACTGTTTGGTGAGCTACTAAAACTAAATTAGGCTCTTGTCCCTATTTTTTAAAACAGAATCTGAAGCATAATTTACTATTTTGTTTTTTACATTCCAAAGGTACCTGATAATTAGGAATTTAGTTGAACTGTTTGTCCTACTGGCTGACAGAGCTCTGTTTTACTTATTCACAGTGCTATTCCTTTTGACTGTAACTCACCAAATTTGTGATGAATATATTACAAAATGGTCTAATACTTTTAGAGGTTTTTAACTTGATTTTTAACTTTTAACTTTCTTTTTCATCTTTAAACAGACTTCCCTTTTTTTACACGTCACTGACAAGTTGCATTGATGTTGTCATGTCATCTCATCGTTGTCATAGTTACCCTGCTATGGTTTCCAAGGCAACTCTATAAACGAGTTACTGTTACCATGGTAACCTTAAACTGTAATTCCCTTTCTTTTTTATAGTTTCTTCTAGTGTTGGGTTTGAACCTATTTTTTTTTTTTTTGTCTGATTTTTTCCTATGTAATTTTGTTTAATTATAATTTAGATGTTCTGCACATTTTCTGAAAATTATTCCACTAAAAATCTAGCCCAATTAGGTCAAAAGATAAAAATTCACAAATTTGTAAAAATCCTTGTCTAAATTTTAAAAAAGATTATTTTTTATTTTTGGAACGTTTACACCCAAGGATTTTCAATTCTATTAGAAATGAATGATGAAAGCTATATTTAACATTCTGGTGATAGTTCCTGTTTTCTTAAATAACCTCATGTAATCAGAGCTGCTAGCAGTTTGGCGAGGTATCTTTTCATAATCAAATCTTGTAGCTTTTGTTTGAAAATCAGACCAAATGAGAAATAGCATGTTAGAAATACAAATATTCTAATAATAGAAATAGTAATGTTAGTTATCTAGATACTGAAAAGTATTTGGAATAAAGATTATAACTTTAAAGCATAGCTGCCTTAAATAAATGGACAAGTATCCACATCCCTTCTGGTTTTGGAAATGAGTAACATCAAATACACATTGTACTATACAGATCTCTCAATAACTATTGTACATTACAACTACCTATTGATGATGTTAAAATGATTTACCAAACACACCAAGAATTATATGGCAACTGAATGGTAACTTTAAAGGAGCCAGAGATAATTTCACATCATTTTTGTAATTGTAAAGGGCTGTAAGCAAAATTATTATTGTCAAAAATGTTTAATTTATGAAATCAAACTGAATTTGTTTTAAAAGGGTAACTATTTGTTCAGTTAGCAGCTTTAACTAGTTTTGGTATTGGGCTTATTAAATTTTTAGTTGAAACCTATGGAATAGGGACATTTTTCTATACATTTAGGTGTTTATTTTGAGTAAATCTGTATAATAGTTGTCTAAACACACATAACATACTTTTTAATTTACTCAAAACTTTTAAATAGTTTAAATAATTAAGGACAGGAATTTTTTATTTAAAATTTTCAAATATGTTAAAAGACATTTCTCCAGATATGGGGGTGTAGATTCATAGATTTAAGCAAAAAAAAAGTTACAACTTATGGAAAAATCATAAAATCGTAAAATTTTAAGGAGCTACAACATTTCCAATGTAGATGGACTAGGCACTAATTTTAAAAATTCCCCCTGATTCACAACTCCTTAAATTTCAATATCTAGCTTGTCTGAAAAATTGTCTTTTAAGTCATTTAACCATGTTGTAATAATTTCAAAACATTTTATATGACACGCAATAAAGTGAAACCCAAATTGAAAAAATCTTTAAACTGATTAAAGACATTACTGATCAATTCTCAGACTGAGTTATTTGTGCTGAGAAATACTTGTCTAATTATTTAAGATGACTATTCTTTAATAAGATTGAATACTATTAAAAAAAATATATGTTGCGTCTGTTGTTCTTTTTCAAAACAGGATGGAATATATTTCTTTTTCAAATTCTTTACCTTTTGTTGATTTGATTTTTCAGGGCCTACATGTAGAGAGATTGTGTTCCGTGATACCTATTCAGATCCCAAAACAAAATGTACCTCAAGAGCTAGAATCAAGTACCGACGATGTGAAGGAACATGTGGAAAAACTTGCTGTAAGCCAAAAAAGATCAAAACACGCAAAGTTCGTTTATTCTGCCCTGATGGAAGCAATTACGTTTATGAACTACCAGTTATCAGAAAATGTGGCTGTACAAAGTGTTAATTTTCTGTTTTGTTTCATATAGTTTTGAATCATTTAAACAAAATGTTAAGACGTGTGCTTTCAGACTCTTTTTGAAAGCTCTCTAATGTAAGAAACAGAATGTTGCCATGATTAAATGTGAGTCAATGAAATGAAGTGTTCTGAAGAAAGAACTTGTGCTTTTATGGTAATCGGACATAAAAAATGCTTGATTTGATTGCCATAGACTTGTAAGCATTATAAGGTTGTGATAACAAAGGAATTGGAGAAAAAGGTTCATGTGAATCTCTGATTAAATGGCGAAGATGTCTTGGAAATCAGTATTGTATTACTGCTGTCAGTGGCAAGAAGTGGACAGGCCATTTTCAAGATATATGTAATATAAAAAAACTTGTCATATTGTAGTGACAAAATCTGTATATAGATCTGTTCATCACATAATTTATTGTATAAAAAGTGTATCCATTTTTTAAAAAAATATTACAGCTATTTAAATCAGATAATAAAAGCAATAACATATTATGTTTGTTAAATGCCTGAGATTTGTCAGACTTCTTACTTGATTAGAAGGAACAAGGTTATATTGTCTAAAATTGTCTAAAATGTGGGTTGACAACTGTAACCACTCTGGTGGGTTGACATCTGTAACCACTCTGGTGGATTGACAACTGTTATCACTCTGGTGGGTTGACAACTGTAACCACTCTGGTGGGTTGGTGGGTTGACAACTGTAACCATTCTGGTGGGTTGACAACTGTAACCACTCTGGTGGGTTGACAACTGTAACAACTCTGGTGGGTTGACAATTGTAACCACTCTGGTGGGTTGACAACTGTAACCACTCTGGTGGGTTGACAACTGTAAACACTCTGGTGGGTTGACAATTGTTACCACTCTGGAAGTGATCAATGAGTTTAAGTTTTAATTTTCACACAATGTACAAATATTAGAAAAGAATAAGTGAATCTTTGTAAACAAGTTTGATTTGTGGCAGGTGAACTTACTTACAAAACTTACTAGAATTGTTCCAAAATTAACACTCAAGAACATATCCTATTACAGTTTACAAATACAGATATTAATTTAACATGAGGTTTCAATATTGTGTAGTGTTTTTTATTTTCACTATAATTTAATGGATTAATTCAAAATTTAAAAAAATACATCTTGCCTTTTATCTTCAAACTATTTTGGATTTGTAGCTCTTACTTTCTTATATATGTAGAAATTCAGAAAGATCTGTTAAAATCCTGTTCTACAGAGTATGGTTCTGATTTGGTGTTGTAATACACCTGTTAACGTTAAAATTCTTGAAGTAAAAGTATGACTGTAAGTATGACCTTTTGTAATGCTAGTTTTGGTTACTACTCATTCAAATAGTTGTATGGAACCTCATGTGATTTAAATTTTTAGTGAACAATTTCTGTCATGTAAAGGTAAGACATGCTATTCTCAAGCTGATATTTCAGTAAGTGGTAAAATTGAATTTACTTTATTTGAGATAGTTAGCTTTGTTCCTTCTATAAAGCCAAACCAAAAGTATTTTTGATTAAGTTCTGTGAAGCTCTTGAACAATCATCAGTCACATATAATTAGTTTTTGAGGTCACAATACTCTTAAGTTTTAATATATATATTATAATTTTTACAAACTGCAATTAATTGCGCACAATAAAATAAATAATGTGTCTTTTCATGAAAATTTTATTTCACATTTTAATTTATTATTCTACCTCAGTATGTTTTTAGTTACTGCTGAACAGTTCACAGTGTTAGTGTTCAGTGTTCTTGTGTTCAATTTCAAAAGTATGTCCCGACACAAGGTTAAAGTGATAGTGAATTCTGAACAAACTATTACACACTTGACACCTGTTCAAGCTTTACAAATTTTATATTTTGAATGTTGCATTGTTACTGATGGGAATGTATTTGCCAGTTCATAATGTTAACTTGGTTAAACTTGAATAATTCACTATTCTATAGAATGGTAGAAAGAAAGGCACATAGTCAATATAATATTTTTTCCAGAAAACCAAAGAATTTAACTTCTATAAAATTGTCATGCCGTGCACTAAATACTGTAAAATATTGACATGCTAAATTGTACTTAAATTGAGCCTTAAACTAAATTTGATGCTGATTTAGTTATTATATTATATGATTGAAAGGAAATAGTAGATTTTGATGTTGTTCATTTAATATTTATCAAGTTTATGATAATGTTTTCAGAAGAAATTTATGTAAATATATCTTGTAGAATAGTACTAATACATATTGTATTGCTGAAAAAAAAAGAAAGGACTAAAACAAAGCATGGTTTTGTTATTATTATAAATCCTAGAGATTAGGGTGATTGAAGGGTAACAAGTTACTATTCACTATAAGGCACTGGCACAGGGTTAAAGTTATGTTAACAATAATAATATAAACACAACTTTTAGACCTGGCACTGGCTAGATATCTTTAGTTCACCTTAGCATGATGTGGAACGACCCATCAGCGTCGGCCATGCCCCCTCCCAAAAAAGACCCAAGAAAAAAGAGGAATGGACTAAATGGAAGGACAAATAAAAAATAGGATATTCTGGTCACTTAATAGTGGAAGAAAGCCCGTGAAGTACTAAAAATGAACATCATTTCTTAAAGATTTTTAAGTATACACTTATGATTTTTTTTTTTATGTCAATATGCTATATTGTAATGATATTAAAAGAATACTTTTTCAAACTGCATGGAATTCAAGATTTAAGCACTTTATTTTGAAATTTTTACATTAAATCCAGCTAATGTTTGCATTTGCATTTGCATTTTTTGACAAAAATAATCAAAAAATGGATACATATACCTCTATGTAAGGTTAAAATTGTTAGGTCCCATCGATCTAATTAAGTAAGTACGTTCGTTCGTAGAAGCGAAATGCAAATATTTAAAATTTCGATTAAAGGACATGTCGAAGGTTTAGCTGGTAAAATTTTGGATTTTTTTGCTTGTTGAAACTGTCAGTAGCATTCAAAAACATCAGGTTAGGGGGCCGCAAAATTTTCCAAGTGAGCACAGGTCATTATTCCACTATGTAAAATGTTGGAAAACAACTTCTACTGTCGAACGTGATTGTGTTTTCGATAGCTGCTGCCAATTGCGCCATTAAAAGCAAATATGCTCAAATTCATTTCCGGTAAAATAGTGAGGAACTACAAATGCTTTCTTACACTAAGCAAAGTTACTACGCAAAAACAACGCCAAGAGAAAACAAATATGTAATAAGATTCGGGAATCAGTATTGGAAAGTTCAAAGTAGATATATAAAATAAAATGAATGGAGTTTTACATCCAACTTTTTTTTAACACCAAGGTCAAAGTAGACATGGTTATTGTCGTGTAGACCTACAATCTGGTAAGAAAGAAAGAAGTTTGAAAGATAACAAACAGCAATACTCACTGACAAATCAGTAGTAATTGTGTGAAAATGAAAACAATTTTTCTACCTTCATTCTGCAGACTTAGAACAAAATAAATTCTGTGGCATCATTTTTTGATGAAATTCGTATTAATGTACCTTACATCAGAACATGGCACTGACGTTAAGATGCTTTAACGGTTTGTGAATAATATTCACTGAAATTCCTACAAGAGAATGCAACTACTGGAGGCACAATTCAAACAAGGAAACGCGCTGATCATTTAAACATGGATTTTGCAAATAGTTATGCGGTGAAACTCATATAAACCGCATCTTCTGTAATCCTCCATCCCCTCTGAAAAGTCCCACTGGAATCACATATAATTTATAGAAGGAAACCCCTAATATCCTGTATCAAAATATGGTCCCAAAGAGGCTAATCTATAGTTAACTTCTAAACCAGCAGCATCAGATTATTTATCGGTAATCCGTCGACGATATTTCGGATTTCCAGCAAATTTTGTGGACAAACAGAAAACCAAGGAAAAGTATATTCTTGCGATACCACGTGTATCTATTTTGAAACTGGACATGGGAATGGTCCCCGTGAAGGTTTGGTTTGTACGGTGGTTATAATTCCTGTAATTTTTAATTAAAAACTTTTCACCAAGGTGAACAACCTTCTCTATTACTAGTCCATCAACATCGCCTACTACCAGTCCTCTGACATATTTTACCTCAAATCCGACAACCAGTCCTTCAACATCCCGTACTATCAGTCCGAAAACAAATGAACTAGAAGTAGCAGATTTTGTTGGACTGACAACAGATGTTGATGAACTGGTTGCAGGAGTAGTGTTTTGACTAGTATTAGGGGATAATGTTGAACTGGTAGCAGGAGTAGTGTTTTGACTGGTATTAGGGGATTTTGTAAGACTGGTAGTAGGGGATGTTGCAGGAATAGTATTTGCGGATGTAACGGGGAAAAACCAGTGACAGGAAAACTTGATATAAAATAGTTTATTAAATAATAGCAAATACTTCGGTATATTATAGATATATTGTATATATTATAAACTCTGAAATAAATAAATATAATAACTATTTTAGACACTAGGAAATAACCCAAACGATAGTTTTATGTAATGGAAATAAATATGCTGCAGTTTTAAAAACGGATAAGAATAATATTTACAATTCAACCTATTTACAATTAGATACAATGCTTACCCTAATTCCTAGGAGTTTTAATTCATAGTAGTATTTCAATATAATTATCCTCTGTGAAACTATAAATATTCAACACTTGAAACTTAATGTTTTCCTTATGAAAAACAAAAACAAAGAAACTAGGAAACTAGTGAAAAACTGCCACCTATAGGAAAGAAGACTAATTAACTTAACTCATGATGAGTGCTATTTACAAAACTACACTTAGCAGACGACAAAATGAAACTGCCAACATAACAAACACCAACATAGCAACTCAGCAAATACAAAAAGACAATATGAAACAACATAAGCTACACAATAATATACAACACTACTACACGGAGCTTATTGGATTGGTAGGAGATGCTGGTAAACATCAAAAAGTATGGACTAAAATGTGTTGTCTCATGGCGAGTAGAATTATATGCGTACAGCAACAAAGAAACATGCTCCTTCCAATTGGTTTTCTGCTCAGTTGTCAACGTACCCAACATATTCAGAAGAGTGCGATTAAACCTCTCCGTTAAACCATTACCCATTGGATGGTACGGAGTTGTACGAGATTTCTTGATGCCCAAGACAGCACATACCTCCTTAATGATGGTGCTCTCGAAGTTTCTACCCTGGTCGGAATGGATGCGTGAAGGAATGCCATATGGAAGAATGAAATTTTGAAGAAGTGCTCTAGATGTTGTCTTAGCTGATTGGTTCTTAGTTGGAACTGGACTGCAAATTTAGTAAAATGATCTGTAATGATTAATATGTTCTCTACGCCACCTTTTGACGCTTCCAGAGAAAGAAAATCCATACATACAAGTTCTAAGGGTTCTGAAGATTGAATATTTACCAAGGGTGCACGTTCTGGCACATTGGAGACTTCCGGCGATTACATCGCGGACACGACTTTACCTTGTCTTCTGCTGCCTTCGTCATACCAGGCCAATAAAAACGAGACTTCAACAAATCCAATGTACGCTCCCTGCCCATGTGACCAATCTTATCATGCAAGAAGAACAGAACATCCCCTCTCAGATGCTCTGGAACAAAGATTTGGAATACTGGATCTGTACCATTTTGAAGAACTTTACGATATAGAAAATCATTTTGGATCACCATAGAATCAAACTGTCGCAGAACAAACCTGGATTCCTTATCCAAAGCACGTAAGAAATCGTTATCAGGACGAACACCTTTCCTAATCAAATCGATAAGATTCCTTATATGGGCATAATCATACTGAGACTTTCCAATTAAGGAACTATCAATAAATTCAGAAGATAAATCTTGAGCCGAAGGTGTTAGTAGATAAGAATCAGTTACCTCTGCAGACATACAAAGCGTCTCAATTTTACCAATATCTACATCATGATAGTTGGCAATAGCTGAAACCACCGAAGAATCCAAACAAACAGGAGGTCTAGACAAAGTGTCAGCAACCACATTATTAACACCTGGAAGATATTCAAGAGAAAAATCATATGCTGCTAACTCAGCCAACCACCTATGACCAGTGGCATCTAGTTTTGCCGATGAGAGAACATACGTTAAAGGGTTATTGTCAGTTTTAACTACGAATTTATTGCCATACAGATATTCATGAAACTTTTTCGTTACTGCCCATTTTAAGGCCAAGAACTCAAGTTTATTAGCTGGATAATGCTGTTCAGACTGAGATAAACACCTACTAGAGTAAGCTATGACCCTACGATGACCATCCTGCATCTGGTACAAAACTGCTCCAAGTCCCGAACTGGAAGCATCTGTATGTAACTCAAAGGGCTGAGAAAAATCTGCAAATGCAAGAACTGGTGCTGATGTTAAACATTCAATAAGGTTTGAAAAAGCTTTCTGCTGCTCAGGACCCCAAACAAAATTATTAGGTGAATCTTCTACTTTCCTTTGACATCGTTTACGCTTACTTGGCTTATTTCCTGAAAGAAGACTAGTTAAAGGTCTAGCAATATTTGCATAACCAGATACAAAACGTCTAAAATACCCACAGAATCCTAAGAAACTTCTTAATTCATCTACATTTTGCGGAACAGGCCATTTTAGAAGAGACGAAATCTTATCTGGATCAGTATGCACACCCTCCTCTGAAATAACATGTCTTAAGTACTTAATTGAGATTGAAGGAAAGAACATTTAGAAGGTTTTAACTTAAGGTTGTGTTGCCAGAGACGCTGAAAAAAGACTCTAAATGAGAAAAATGCTCAGAAAAGGTTTTGCTATAGATGATGACGTCGTCTAAATATATCAAGCAGCTTACTAAATTCAAATCACCCATGCACTGTTCCATAAGGCGCTGAAAAGTTGCTGGTGCATTCGTTAACCCAAATGGCATGGAATTGAATTCGTAAAAACCCAATGGTCCAGCTGTAAATGCAGTTTTAAACTTGTCTTTTTCTGCCACTTCAACTTGCCAATACCCACTTTTCAAGTCTAAAGAACTAAAATACTTACTACCATAATGGCAATCTAAAGTTTCCTCAATTCTGGGTAGAGAATATGCATCTTTTATAGTAAGTGAATTCAATTTTCTATAGTCTATGCAAAATCTCAAGCTATTATCTTTTTTTCTGACCAATACAATGCCAGAAGAAAATGGGGAAGATGAGGGTCGAATAATCTTAGCACTAAGCATGTCTTTGAGATGCTGCTTTACCTCTTGGTACATAGATGGTGGTATCCTGCGATGTCTCTCTTTGAATGTTGACTCATCAGATAAATGAATTTCATGCTGAATTAGATCCGTTTTCCCTAATTCAAGGTCAGTTTTAGCAAATATATCTTTATACTTACAAAGTAATTCACGAAGTTGATCCTGTTCAGCTTTTGAAAACCTATTTGAAAGATCATCAAGATTAAACTCTGAAGAAAAATTAGACGAGGGAGAATTCTCAGTATCTACTATTTCCACTTGCTGCACATTGCAAAATATAGATTTACCTGGAATAGTAACATATTTATTTGACGTATTCTGGACTTTAACTTTAAAACGTTTAGTTGACTGAGTTGACGAACCATTTTCAAAAATTCCTGGTAGCACCTGAAGGGAACTTGGGGTAGAAATATCATCAGAAACAAAATAATAACGACCAGGAAAAGGACTTGGAACATTTACCGAACATGAGATACATGTAGATGAATTAGGGGCTATCTTCACACTTCTAAAAGTACGAAGTGGATAAATTTTATCAGTACCATTCTTTTGCCTACCAAAAACAGAAACAGCTGCTCTCCAAGCTGAGTTAAGGGCTTTAACATCTTCATCTGGAATTCTATCAAGAATATTAGTTCCAATAATAAAATGTACATTTGTGCTTACTGTAGAAGAAGGGACAACAAGAAATAATGCTGAAATATAAAAATTAGAAAATGGAATATGAAACGGAACCTCAATATATCCAGTATAACATAATCTATGACCACCTGCTAAACGTACCTCTAATAAGTCATCTAAAGGGTATAAAGGAAATGATGAGAGAAATGAATAATAATAGTGACTATCAACAGTTGATATCATTGACCCAGTGTCCAACAAAGCAGTTGAAAGTTTATTTGCAATTTCTACTTTCGCTAAGTTTAACTGACCTACCAATTCATGTACCCGTAATTTGGGACTCCAACCATTGAAATAAGGACCTACTGACTGTCCCGTGGGGCATATGACCCGGCTGTCGGCACTGCCAACAAGTTGGAACCGAACTAGGCTTCGTATTGACATTGGACGTGGAGGACATCACTGGTGATGACATCTGCATTGATGTCATTGGCAACGTTGAAGTAGGAGGTGGCAACTATGTCGGAGGTGAAACAAAGGTCGAAGATCTAGGAGGCATAGTAGACTGAGTTCTATAACGCTGTTGACTCTGATATCTAGGCCTATAAAAAGAAGATTCCATTGAATTAATTGTACTTGACATATCTTTCATATCTGATTTAAGCGATTCTAGTTGTTGCAATCCGGTTGCTAAGGTCATTACAGAAATATTAGAAACAGGAAATGCAGATGAAGTAACTCTGGTGATATTTTGCTCCAACTCTGTCTGTCGCACAGCAAGTGTCAATGCCTCAAAAGACATGTCCATATCTAATAAATGGCGAGTACAGGATCTCACATTGCTATTATATAAGCCAGTCCAGAACCTATGTTTTAATATGTGTGATGCTGCTGGCTCTGATAAAATATTACCTGATTTAAGTTTAAAAATAATGTGTTGTAACCTAACAGCCCATGTGGAAGTTGTTTCCGTATCTTTTTGTGCAGCTGAATATAGCTTCGTCATCAACGACTCTGCAGACAAGATCTCGCCAAATAGTGGGTCTAAACTAGAAATAAGATCATTAATGGTATTCGGGTTTAGACTTACCAATAATTCGGCAGCAGTACCCCTAGCAGCGCGTCGAGCAGCATTTAAAATTGATACTTCCGTATATAAATTTTCCGTTTGTAGACCTAATATTTCCAACCTCCATTGTTCAAAACTTACATCTTTAGTTGTATCACCTGAAAAAACTGAAAGTCTTGGTAGTGTGGATGTTACATGTGGTTTAGTGCAGCTTGATTGAAATGATGGAAAATATGTGTGGTTTGCAACTGTAGACTTACTAAAGTATGGGTGTGGTTGTGGCGGGGGGAGGGGGGAAGGGCTGTGGCGGTAGACTAAACGAAACTGTGTTGGTCTTGGTATCTGAAGGTGTAGAATAATTTAAGGGCAATGGCGATATATTATAATTATTAAAATCAGATGGCATTTCTGATGCCGCACCTGAAACATTTACTGATTCACGAGTGTTCTCACCAGTACTAGGCTTGGGACAAAATGCTGGAACAGAAGACTGAAATTTAACTTCCGATTCAGATGAAACTAAAGACAACAGTACACGTTCCCTGTTTCCAGGACTCAAATTTGATAACATTGCCTGAAACTGACCAACCAGATCATCAATGACTACATCACCACCCTCTGCCATCTTAAACAATACAAACCAACTGCAAAATAAGATTAGAAACATATAATTACAAATCTACCTTTGAAAAAAAAAAATCTACTGATAATACAAACTATGGCAACAATGGTCCTACAACGAAAAATATGAGCAATACCAACCTTTAACTTTCTGCACAATCTGAACACTATATCTAACAATTTTATCTAACTTTCTATATCAAATAGTTTCCTGAGAACCTTAAATTATAAAGTATTATTATTCCTAATTGAACGATAAATATTATTATAGCTTACAATTACAAAATGTAATACAAATATAGTAGTTAAATACGTATAAAGAACAGATTAGCAATACCCCAATATTATACACACATGACAATACAAAAAAAAACAGTACAAAAACGTAATACAAAGACAATACATACAAAGACAATATATACAAAGACAATACAAAAAACAGTACGAACACACCCTAGGCGTCCCGAGGTATTCACACACATTCACACATCTAAGACAAATACATAATACAAGTGAAACAAAACAGAAATTTACACAAAGTCAAAGTAAAGTTATAGGCCTACACACAGGTGAAAAAGGTATACCACAGCACAAACACGAACAATGACACACACGACGATGGCACATAAAAATTCTCCAAAATAAATTATTAATTCCAATTCCAATTCCAATTCACGTTGGGCGCCAATTATGTAACGGGGAAAAACCAGTGACAGGAAAACTTGATATAAAATAGTTTATTAAATAATAGCAAATACTTCGGTATATTATAGATATAATGTATATATTATAAACTCTGAAATAAATATATATAATAACTATTTTAGACACTAGGAAATAACCCAAACGATAGTTTTATGTAATGGAAATAAATATGCTGCAGTTTTAAAAACGGATAAGAATAATATTTACAATTTAACCTATTTACAATTAGATACAATGCTTACCTTAATTCCTAGGAGTTTTAATTCATAGTAGTATTTCAATATAATTATCCTCTGTGAAACTATAAATATTCAACACTTGAAACTTAATGTTTTCCTTATGAAAAACAAAAACCAAGAAACTAGGAAACTAGTGAAAAACTGCCACCTATAGGAAAGAAGACTAATTAACTTAACTCATGATGAGTGCTATTTACAAAACTAAACTTAGCAGACGACAAAATGAAACTGCCAACATAACAAACACCAACATAGCAACTAAGCAAATACAAAAAGACGATATGAAACAACATAAGCTACACAATAATATACAACACTACTACACGGAGCTTATTGGATTGGTAGGAGATGCTGGTAAACTAGTGGGAGGAGAAGTTCCTGGACTTGATTTGAGTTGATGTTGTAGTAATGGTAGTAGGATCTGTTGTTAAAATGGTATGATTTTCATGTATTTGATTAAGTGGAAGAAAATAATGAAGAAGCTATGTTATTCTAATTTGATTTTCAAAAAGCTTTTGATTCTTTGCAATGGGATTTTATCGATAAACATTTTGGAAAAATGTTTAAAAGATGGATAAATATATTTTACACTAACGTAACAAGTAGCGGTTCAAACAATGGATGGGGATCAAATCCTTTTGCAATCTGGAGGGGAGTGAGACAGGGTTGTCCTCTATCGCCATATATATCCATTTTATGCGCAGATATACTAGCATCTGCTTTGAGAAATAACTTACTATCAATTAATAATCCTACCAAAATGGTTTCACAATTTGCAGACGATAGAACCCTTTTATTAGACACTAAATTAACAACTTTTTAAACATTTTTGAAAAAAATTGACAGTTTTGGCAAAATTAGTGGCCTAAAACCGACTTTAGAAAAATGCGTATTAGCTAGAATTGAGAGAATCAGAAGACTTATTACAGATGAGATTAAAATCGTAGGAATATATATTCCAGTGAACAATAAATTACAAGACATCATTAAACTGAACTATGACCAAAAATTGATGAAAAAAAAAGCATTAGATCTATTTAAAGGTAAAATTTAAACTCTCCGCGGTGATATGTATTATTAAATCATAAGCTCTTCCTAAAATTTTATACCAACAATGGATTTAACCAAATCCTACAGACGAATATCTTAAGGAATGAGACCAAAATTCCTTTGGAAATATTTTTAATACATGTATATGGAAAAATAAAAAAAAAATTTTATGCTCTCCAACACATTGTGGAGGAATGGACGCTCCAGATATTTTCACTTGTACAAATGCAATTAAAATATCATGATCACACAAGCAATTTTCGTCAGCGAAAACTCATATTTGGAAACATAGCATATACCGACTTTTTAAAAATAGACGATACAATTAATCCTTTTCATCTTAATCTCAACAAAAAATAACATATATAAGGATAGCTTTATTTGGTATTTTATATAAAAAAATGGTTCGATAATATAAATTGTCAGACCTATTAGATGGGTTGTATAACTTGTTCTTGTACAAGGATTTTTGCAAAAAACATATTAGCCTCAAGACTTCGTGACATATCTTGGTTTAACAACTGCGATTACAAAACATGAAATATCGGAAAAAGAATTACTGAATATTTAGAGTCACAAAGGCGCATACACCTAATTACATATATCACTCAACAAGCCAATTGAATTTGGAGGGAATAAATGGAAGAATCTCTTTGCGATCAAAAACTTTTTTCGAAAAATTTAACAGCTTACTAACAACACTATCCTCAAAATTTTCAATTTAAATAATTTACGAACTAGCTTTAATGCTCATAGGTCAGACATCAAATTAAAGAAAGACAAGCCTGTTTCTAATCATTTCAACCTCGACGACCATTCAATGGACGATCTCACCCTAATCCCAATTGAGCGTATAGAAATTGACTTGCCCGAAGATGAAACTACCAAATTCCGTCCATCTAGGGAAGCCCATTGGATTAAGACATTGAATACAGCAAGACCTATAGGACTAAATATTCATCATAATGTAGGCATAACACCCTTTGTTGTCCCGTTTAATACAACCAGCAATCGAGCAAGCAAGATAGTTCCTATTCCTATTCTCTACTTCCCTATCCTCCCCTCATGTAATACATGTATAAGTACTGTACATAAGATTTATTTGAATAAAAAATTAAAAAAAGGAAATAAGAAGGACAGTATATTCAACATAATGCAAGCATAGCATCCTTTATTGTTTCGTTTAATACCACTAGCAATTGAGCAAGTAAGATAGTCAATGCCTACAAGAGAAATCCACCCATTAGACGGGTTATATTATATCTAATTTCAGATCAGAACAGAGGAACATCATCAACATTTCCTGGCTGTTCATTCCATTTTCTTAATGAAGTATTTGTTCCATCCCAGGCCTGTATATTTGATAGAATCAAACACTCACTACACCGAAATCTAAACAAGAAAACGTGGTCCACGTTGTAAGGAAAGATTGACTCCATCATAAAAGTCTCTTTTCCTTCCTCACAGAAATGGCTGATTCAAATCTTCGCACTGTAGAATGATAGAAGTGTGACAAGATATTTCAGACGGCTATAGAAAGAAAAAGCATATTGACAACAAGGACCATAGCTGTTTGAGGGTGATGTGTCCCTTATGTTCAAGAGAGAAAAGCTTTTAAGACGCACATCTGAACTGCGTGATCACGTTGGGAAGGAACATTCTAGTAAGTTTGAGGATTTGCTAAAAGACTTATTTGGAGAGAGTAATATGTTTTGGCTATCATGTACCCAGAGGATTATGCTAAATTAATTGGACCATCAAAAAGGAGGAGTAACGTTGCTACGAAGGCCAGGAAATTGGTGAGGTGTTTGAAGACATTGAAGGAACTAAGCCACTCAACCAAGGTCTGGGAGTCCGGATGAGAGTTCTCTTTCCTTATCACCAGAGGAGGCCCTGGTCATCGTCAGTGGTATTTGAGAACAAGTTTATCCCTGATTACGAGCTTCAACCACCCAGGAAAGTTAAGGCTTATGATCCTGAAAGGCTGGAATTACCTGTTCCAGACACCAGTGTCCATGGTGATGCAGGATGGGATTGAGGCTACTGTTTCTGCCGACCTAACCATCGATCCAAAAGGGATGGTTACCCCATTTCGTAAGATGACCGTCCCGCCACCAACTAACTGCCGATAGCTTTGGTCGAAGAGGATGGTTAACTGCTCAGAATTCCGCCTCGTTTCCTTTTTCAATGAAACAAGAATATTCTGTAGCCTTCACTTTTGTTAGGAAGACAACCTCAATACCTACCAGTGAAGGTCAAGTGCTGTCTCTGATCCAAACAGTCAGAGGCCTGTATCAAGGATGGAGGGAGGTGAGGAAGGGGGAGCTAGCCTGATCCAAACAGACCAAGTGAAACCGAAGACAGAGATGATGATATACCAGCGGCTGATCTCAACACTTGACACTGGCCAGCCTCGCTAAATCGGCTTTAATCGTGTAATAGGCAGTGCAAGTAGGCCCTGAAGATCATACGGAAGAGATCCATTCCTTTCTTAGCGCCCGCTCAGATAGACTGGAAAGACGTCGAATCTATTACCTTGTTTAACGGACCTACAGCTCTGTTTTGGCCATATAAGATCTGGCAGTCCCTGTCACCCAATGCCAAGCTTCCGCCTGGGAAATGGCAGTATTCACACTGCGCACTCTTGGTAGACAGCCAACAAAAAAAATCTCGACAGGTCCACCATGTTGGCCACTTATAATATATTGTTTTTGTTCAGATTTTATGACATCAAATATAGTAACTGAATGAGGAAGTATACTTTAATATGATGAAGTCACTGGTCACACCTAATATGTAAATGACAGTTTTCTGAAAATTGTGGCTGCTGCCGAACACAGAAATGGTGGCATCATATTTTCTACTTATGAAGGACCTTGGCAGCAGGGTCATGTCTGGTACTGTCAGAAATAGTACAGAATGATAAGCATTGATCCAAGACATAGAGTACATCAGTGTGCGAGGTTACATGAACGGCAAAAATCAATATCAATATGTATTATTGCGCTTT